AAAAAAAAAAAAAAAAAAAAAGGGCCCGTAATAAAAAGTTAACCAGTTAACCACCAACAAGGAGCAAAAAATAAATTCACAGATCTGTGTTCCTTCTCTTCACGACACTTAAGCCAGGTGGTATTGACACACCTGTCTGTTCCCCCACCAGCCACGGGTTCCACTGTGATGGTGGGCAGAAGTGTGAGGCTGGGACTAAGCTTTGCTTATAACCAAACGCCAGCCAGTGGGGCGGCCTTGCGCGTTGTAGGCATGCTCAGTCGATGGCTGCTTTCATTTCCCATTTGCATCCTTGCCTCCCAATACTAGAAGTCAAGAGCTGACTTAAAGGGAAGTTGGCGCCAGGCATGCTGGCTCACCCCTGTAATCCCAGCACTTTGGGAGGCCAAGGTGGGCAGATCACTGGAGTTCAGGAGTTCAAAACCAGGCTGGACAACATGGTGGAGACCTGTCTCCACTAAAAATTCAAAAAGTTAGCTGGGCATGGTGGCACATGCCTATGGTCCCAGCTACTCGGGAGGCTGAGGCGGGAGGATTGCTTGAGCCAGGGAGATGGAGGGTGCAGTGAGCCAAGATGGTGCCACTGTACTCCAGCCTGGGTGACGGAGTGGGACCCCAGCTCAAAAAAAAGAAAGGACATCCTACCTGCACAGCCAAACTCTCTGGTGCTGGGGGCTCAGTGGGGCCCCCCAGGCTGCACCTGCAGCAGTGGAGTGCCAGGCCTGAGGGAAGCTCCCCGTCCTTTGTGTGGCCGTGTGAACCTCCCTCTCCTGCCTGGCCCGTTCCTTCTGTTGGCACCACAAGAAGAAGTCTAAGGAGAGACAGAGGAGGAGAGAAAAGAGTAAGCAGATGGGAGGATCTGAGCCAGGAGGGACCCCTGACACCTGGGGCGCTTGTCATCCCCATCTATGAGGAAGTGATGTCTAGCTCCAATACTCTAGCCTCTGGCGTGGGTCTGCATCAGCGCATCAGCCCATGAGTGCAGGCTGTGCTCCTCTCGTGCTGTGTGTCCTCAAACTAGTCACTTAACTTCTCTGTGCCTCAGTTCTCCATCCATAAAATGGGCACAATTCCTCTTGGGGGGTGTCACTGAGAGGCTCAAATGAGATTGTCTCTGGGAGGGTGCCAAAGCAGATATACAATAGATGTTCATTCACCCAGGGGTCCCCCACCCCAGCCCATCCCGTGTGGAGCTCAGGCCCTGGGTGGCCAGGCTCTATCTCCCCGCTTTCCCAGAACCCCACATCTCACCAGCTAGTTGCAGGGCCCGTAGGATCTGGACTCTCTCATCTCTGCCGCCTGTTCTGTGTCCAGGATTCGACGGAAGCCACCGAGCTCTCTTCTCCTCCTTCAGACTTCCTGGACTAAAAGTGAAGTTGCCCAGAGAGAAACTGATGACCCAGGAGTGAGGGCACACAGTCCCAGCCTGTCCACCCCACCCCAGCCAGGTGTGGTCAGGCCGCGGGAGCCGGGGATGCTGAGTTCCCTACTCTCTTCTGGACAGTTCATTTTATGCCTGCTGGGGGCAGGTTCTGCTCTTGATTTATTCTCTTCAATACGGTTTGGATTTCTTCTTAACAACAAACATGTATTAAAATAAATATCACTTAAATAATTCTTTACATAGATTTGTTCAATTTAAAAATAAGAACATGGCCGGGCGTGGTGGCTTGTACCTATAATCCCAGGACTTTAGGAGGCTGAGGCGGGCAGGTCACTTAAAGCCAGGAGTTTGAGACCAGCATGGTCAACACAGCAAATCTACCAAATATATATATATACACACGCATACACAAAAATCAGCCAGTGCAGTGGCACACACTTGAAGTCCCAGCTACTCGGGAGGCTGAGGCATGAGAATTGCTTGAGCCTAGGAGGCAGAGGTTGCAGTGAGTCAAGATCACGCCACTGCCAGGCGCGGTGGCTCAAGCCTGTAATCCCAGCACTTTGGGAGGCCGAGGCGGGTGGATCACGAGGTCAAGAGATCGAGACCATCCTGGTCAACATGGTGAAAGCCCGTCTCTACTAAAAATACAAAAAATTAGCTGGGCATGGTGGTGCGTGCCTGTAATCCCCGCTACTCGGGAGGCTGAGGCAGAAGAATTGCCTGAACCCAGGAGGCGGAGGTTGCGGTGAGCCGAGATCACGCCACTGCACTCCAGTCTGGGCAACAGAGCGAGACTCCGCCTCAAAAAGTGATAATAAAAAGTAAAATAAAATTTTAAAAGTCTTCCTAAACATCATATTGGATGGCTGCTAATTGTTCATCGCGTGGTCAAACCATCATTTACTCACTTACCATTGGGCATTTAGGCTGCTTTTCAGTTTGTTTTTTTGAGACCGAGTCTTTCTGTGTTGCCCAGGCTGGAGGGCAGTGGCATGATCACAGCTCACTGCAGCCTCGATTTTCTGGGCTCAAGTGATCCTCCCGCCTCAGTCTCTAGAGTGGCTGGGACTACAAGCATGCCCCGACACCTGGCTAAATGTTTACTTTTTTTTCCCAGAGATGGGGTCTCGATATGTTGCCCAGGCTGGTGTCTAACTCCTGGCCTCAAGTGATCCACCTGCCTCAGTCTCCCAAAGTGCTGGGATTACGGGCATGAACCACCATGCCTGGCTGTTTTGAAGTTTTTACAATTACACTCTTTTTTTCTTTTTTCTTTTTTTTCAGGTATTAAGCAACGAAGATCAGGTAGTTTTTACAATGATAAATGATGCCATGACAGACATTTTTTTTCCATACATCTTTGCCCACATCTGCTTATTTCATTTCCATTCTTTTTGGGGATGAGAAGTAGGGGCGGCAAGGCAGGAAGTGGGGGAAGGAAGGCCACCAGCCGCCCCGGCCACACTGACCAACCTGGTGTGTTCCAGCCTGCTTCTCTGGACGGGGTCTGCCACTGTGCTTCTTCCCAAGGAGGGGCCTTGGCCCTGGGCTCTTCTGGAAGGCAGTGACCCTGACCCAGCCCATGTGCGGGGCTGTCCTTGTTTCTGCTGCAGAGCCAGGTTGCTCCACTGGGTCAAGAGAGATGGAGAAAAGAGATGTTGACCTTGACTCTTCCTCCCAAGGGAGCACTAGGCAGGGACACACCTATCAGACTCCACAGCCTGTGGTCTTAACTATAACTCTGCCTAGTCATTCCTTCTTTGAGAATCAAGGAATGAATGAATGAACAAATAGAGAGAGGTGCATCCCAAGAGGCAACGCCTTCGTTAGAAGACGAAAGCTGGGGCCAGGTGTGGTGGCTCACGCCTGTAATCCCAGCATTTTGGGAGACCGAGACGGGTGGATCATGAGGTCAAGAGATCGAGACCATCTTGGTCAACACAGTGAAACCCTGTCTCTACTAAAAAATACAAAAATTAGCTGGGCATGATGACACGTGCCTGTAGTCCCAGCTACTCAGGAGGCTGAGGCAAGAGAATCACTTCAACCTGGGAGGCAGAGATTGCAGTGACTGAGATCACGCCATTGCACTCCAGCCTGGTGACAGAGCAAGATTCCATCTCAAAAAAAAAAGAGATCGAGACCATCCTGGCCAACATGGTGAAACCCCATCTCTAGTAAAAATACAAAAATTAGCTGGGCATGGTGGTGCGTGCCTGTAGTCCCAGCTACTTGGGAGACTAAGGCAGGAGAATCTCTTGAACAACCTGCAGGATGCAGAGGTTGCAGTGAGCCAGGATCACGCCACTGCACTCCAGCCTGGTGACAGACCGAGACTCTGTCTTAAAAAAAAAAAAAAAAAACAAAACACATACGAAAGCTGGGACTGGATCCTCTCAGAGCACCGCTTTCCCAAGGAGAGAAGGACACAGATGCTCCCTCCCAACACTGGCTGGCAAACCACCAATTAAAAATAGGAACCATTTATCTAGTAGCTTGCTATATGCTAGGCAGAGTTCTGAATCCCTTATTAATTTAATCTCCCTGCGACCCTGAGAGAGGTATGTACTACTATCATCATCATCCCATTTTAGAGATAAAGAGACTGGGGCACAGAGAGGTTAGGTAACTTGCCCAAGGTCACACAGCTAGAAAGTGGTAGCGGGGGCAGGATTTGAACTCAGGCAGAGCTGATTCAGGCGTGCTGACTCATAACTACACGCTCTACTGCTGATCGTTCTTGAGGTGCAACCTATGCCCAGTGGGTACCCTCTCCCTGACTGAGCCTCCTCCCAGACACCAGTGCTTCACACCTCCCCCTGGCCCAACCTGGAGACCCCTGACCTCTAGGAAGCTCCTGGCGAGCAGGGCCTTTGTGTACCGCCCCCAGGCTGCCTCCAGCTGAGCCTCCCGGAGCCACAGGGCCTGAAGGCCCTTTCGCAGCAGCTGCTGGTGGCCCAGTGCCACTGCTGCCGCCACTGCCGCCTGCTGCATTTCCACCAAGTGCCTCCAGCCTTGAAAGTATCTGGACAGCGGCTGCCAGCTGGGGACAGACCAGGGCTGATCAGGGGGTGGACTGCCCTCCTATCCCCAGGGAGTGCCTAGTGGCTGGGTACCCTTCGAGATGTCTTTCCAGCAATCAGTAGGGTGATAACCCACAACAGGAGCCTCACACTGCCGACTGGGAGAACTTCCCTCTTATTGATGGACCTGGGAATCCCACACAAGCAAGGTTCTGGGGGTGGGAGAAGGCCCTCTTTATTTCTTTTTAATTAATGTATACATTTTTTGAGACAGGAGCTTGCTCTGTCGCCCAGGCTGGAGTGCACTGGCTTGATAATGGCTCGCTCCTGGGCTCAAGCGATCCTCCCACCTCAGCCTCCCGAGTAGCTGAGACTACAGACAGGCACCACCACACCCGGCTAATTTTTGTAACGTTGTTGTAGAGACAGGCTTTTGCCACCTTGCTCAGGCTGGTCCTGAGCTCCTGAGCTCAAGCAATCTGCCTGCCTCAGTCTCCCAGTGTTAAGATTACAGGCATGAGCCATCGCATCCGGCCAGAGGCTGCCCTCTTTGCCAAAAACTCAGGGTGGCCTCAGACATTCAGGACACTCAGTGCCCCAAACCCACAGGCATCGGTCCCCTCATTCTCGTCCCTGGGCCCAGGAGGCTCCCTTCGTTCCCCAGCAGGGACAGGTAAGAAGTTCCCCTTCCTTGAAACTCTGCCTCGTCTCCAGCAGGCCCTCGTCTCCATTTGCTCAGGCAAATGGGAGCGGGGAGTCCTGGCTTCATCTCTATCAGGCCCTTGTTCCTGTTCACTCAGGCAAATGGGAGCAGGAGTCCTGAGCATGTGTGCCCCAACTCCAACCCCTGTCCCCACCCAGCCATGCATGGCCTCACCAGGTTGCCTTGGACTCCGGGGCCAAGATATTTTGTGCCTTGTTCTGGGAAAGCAAGAGTAAGCAACACAGTTCTCAGGCCAAGGAGCAGGTGGGACAGGGCACCCCCTGCCAAGCCTCCCTGCTCTGGTGCAACACCCCCTCCCACACCCTACCTCCAGCCTCCCCTGGCCTCTACCTGCGAGGCACTGCTCGCTGGGGCTGTGTCTGGCAGATGGGAAGCTGTCCTCTCCTCCTCCCTGTGGACCTGCTCCCTCAGGGCCCCCTCCTCTCTTTTCTGCTTAGGTGGGACTCCCCAGGCTGTGATGGAGAAGGCTGAGGAACAGGGGCCGGCCTCCCTGCTCCCCACGCCTTGAGGGAGGCCCTTCTGTGCCCTGTCACCTGGTGACCCCACGGAATAGCTGTCCCCTGACCCTAAGGGATGGGCGGGAGGGAGCCCCTTTTCAGGATTAAGGAAATCCCCGGTCAGTGTCCCCAAAGTGGTCTCAGGTGTCATTAGCTTGCTTTGAGCCCAAGAATCTGAGAGAGCAGCCGGGGTCTCCAGGGAAGCTGCAGTTTCCCTGCGGCCTCGGAGTTGTCTCCTCCTCTCATCCCAGGAAGCAAGGACAGGCCGGCCGGGCTGCGGGTGGGCGGAGAGTGGCTGGCTGCCGCTGGTCCAGAGGTCCTGCTGCACAGCACCGGGGGGTTCCTGGGATGCCTGACAGCTGAGTTGGGCTGCCTCTGGCACCAGGCAATGTACGGAGGCCAGAAGCTGGTGGACGCCATGGGATGGGGCCCGAGCCTGGTTCTGACTGGGATCAGCCAGGTCCTCCAGGGTGAGAGGTTCCTCCACCAGCCTGGACGTCCAGCTCCCCAGGTTACCCCAGGATCTGAGGCCCGGCTGTGGGTGCCCATCGAGAGGGGCAAAGGCTGCACCAGGCCTGAAGTCCCGGCTAGGGGTGCCTGGGGCTGGCAGCCTGGACTGCCTCCGATAGGGGGATGGGCAAGCCAGTGCCCCTTGGGAGAGGAGATGTCCCTGGAGGAGCTCATGGGGCCTAAAGCTCCCCGCCGGCTCTGGGCAGAGGAGGGGGCTGCTGGTCCCACTTATGCTCAGGTTGCTCTGCTGGATGGCAAACTCTTGGGCCTTCCCTTGGCGCCTCCTGGTCAGGGGCTGCAGGTTGCTCTGTTGCCAGAAGCTTGAATTGACTAGTCGGCCGGTTGTGTCCTTCAGGGCTAGGCCCAGACGGGGACCAGGGCTGGCCAGGTTGGTCTGGACTCGGCAGGGCTCCTGGTCTAGCACTGCCCCTGGGGAGGGTGTGGCAGCAGGCTCTCCCCTCTCCACCTGGCACCTGGACACCCACCGGTCATGACTACTGCTCAGGCCAATGACCAGGCTCCTCCTCCGTTGCTCTAAAGAAAGGAGAGACAGTCTGCTGGGCGCGGTGGCTCATGCTTGTAATCCCAGCACTTTGGGAGGCTGAGGAGGGCAGATCACAAAATCAGGAGTTCGAGACCAGCCTGGCCAATATGGCGAAACCCCATCTCTACCAAAAATACAAAAATCAGCCAGGTGTGGTGGTGCGCGCTTGTAGTCCCAGCTACTCAGGAGGCTGAGGCAGGAGAGTTGCTTGCACCCAGGAGATAGAGGTTGCAGTGAGCCGAGATTGAGCCACAGTGAGACTCCATCTCAATAAAAAAAAAAAAAAAAAAAAGAGGAGAGACAGTCGTGGCCTGGGGGAGAACTTGGACGAGCTGGCACTCGGGGGACAGGTGGAGCCGTCCAGGTCTTGGATCAAGGGAGGGGACAGGGCCCAGCAGCGGGAGGGAGCTGAGACTTCCGGGGTCTGCTGCCAGCTCTGCCTCCCTGGGTGAAGCGATGGGCAGACTCTGGGGCTCTTGGAGTCGGGGGTCTTGGAGCTGGACAGAGGGAAGCAGAGAGACATTTAGGAGGCTGTTGAGGGGATCCCAGGAGAGAGATAATGGTGGCTGGGATCAGACTGGCAGGTGGGTAGAGAGAAGATTCAGATAAGCTTCAGAGGTGGAGCCAACAGGCTTGGAAATCAGGTAAAGGGGAAAAAAAGAATCGAGGGGGACTATTGATTTCGGACTTGAGCAAAGAGGTGGCAGGGGCAGTGGGCTGGGGTGAAAGCAAGACCCCATAGAGCAATGGCTAAAGGTGAGCTGCTCTGGGAACATGGAGGGGGGCTTTGAAGCCCCTCCCCAGCCCCCAAACCTACTCCACAGCCACAGAGTCCTCGTGGGGATGGAAGAGGTGCTGGGAGGCTCTGGGCTTAGAGCCTGGCAGGTTGAGTGGGCCATAAAAGTTGCTGCCTTTGTGGATAGGAACTAAAGCTCAGAGAGGGTAAGCAACTTGCCCCAGGGTCACACAGCTGGAACACAAAGAAACTGGAATGTGAATTCAAGCATCTGCATTTGTTCTTGGGCTGTTCCCCTTCTTGGCTGGCCCAGCTCTGTGGCTTTCTTAAAGCTCAGTAGCCTGAGCAGGGATGTCCCCAGCCCCCCATCCCTGACACAGACTGTCCTGTGGGGTCCCCGTCTTAGCCAGGGTACCAGCCAGGCCTACTCCTGGTCCCCTCTCTTCCTGACCTCACTCTCCCAAGAACCCCCCTCCTTAGGCCCCAGGCTGGGAAGACTCTGTCCTTTTCCCAGCCGACCATGGATAGCTGATCTCCGGAACTAGCCAGGCCTTAGGCTTGTCTGCCTGGGAAGGGGGCTCTGGGTGGATTTCTAGACGGGGCCCTGCTCCTGTAACCACTCAGTCAGGCCCACCAAGCCTCTTGCCTGGCTTCAGGAGCGCTGTAGGCTTTGGGGACACATTCTCCTTGTGGCTGGCGTCAGACCTTAGCTCCATGGGCTTGGGGACAGGGGCGTCCTAGGTCCACCCCACAGTCAGGGGCCTGGTCCGTGTGATCAGATGGGCCCTGTGGGGAGAGGACAGGTTGACCTGGCTCTCATTCGGCCCCACCCCATTCTCATCCCTACCCCCTCCCTTTAGCAGCATTCCTGGCTGCCCCTGACCTGGTCCCAGCTGCCCAGGGCCTGTTCCTCACTGCTCTGGTCTCTCAGGGTCTCCTCTCCCTGCCCTACTAATCGCCTCCTTTTCCATGGTAAGTGACCAGGTCAAATGCTGCCTAATCCTGTCCCCCAGACCTCTTGGCTGAGGTCTGACCATGCAGGTCCAGTGACCTCCTCCACGCCTACCTGGAGGTCTAACAGGCAGTGCAGTGTTAATATGTTCAAAACTGTTGGGAGGCCGAGGTGGGTGGATCACGTGGCCAGGAGTTCAAGACCAGCCTGACCAACATGGTGAAACCCCATCTCTGCTAAAAATACAAAAATTAGCCAGGTATGGTGGTGGGCGCCTGTAATCCCAGCTACTCAGAAGGCTGAGGCAGAATTACTTGAACCAGGGAGGCGGAGGTTGCAGTGAGCCGAGATCGCACCAGTGCACTCCAGCCTGGGCAACCGAGCAAGACTCTGTCTAAAAAAAAAAGAAGTCCAAAACTGAACTCTAGCCATTCTCAAAACCAGCTCTCCCCCATCGGTGCCCTCCTTGTCCATGGATGGCAGCTCCGGCCTTCTGATGGCTCAAACAAAAATCCTGGAGCCAGCCCCAACTCCCCTTCTCCCTTACACCAGTGGCTACTCTGATAGGCTCTGCCTCCCAAATGCATACAGGATCTGACCCGGGTGCACTGGGCCAAGTGGCCCTCACCTGCCACCTCCCAACTGGTCACTCTTATTCTGCCCTCGTCCTCACGCCCGACAGCCTCCTCTTCACATAGCAGCAGGGCGATCCTGTGAACACTTAAATCAGACCACGTCCTGCCTCAACTCAAATGCCACAAAGGCTCTCCAGCCCACTCAGTGCTCCTGTGAGCCTTCAAGGTCGTAGGCCAGGGGCTAGCAAACTATTGCCTGGGCCAGTGGTCCCTTATATGAATAAAGTTATACTGGAACAAAGCCCATTTGTTTAAAGACTGCCTGCTTTCCAGCTGCAATGGCAGAGCTCAGTAGCTGCAAGATACCTTAGACTGCAAAACGTTTTTTTTTTTTTGTTTT